TGGATGATTTAACTACCATTAGATTCGTCTCGATGAGCTCTACAACTTTAATTAGAGACTCAAAGATGATTAACTTAATACAAAAAAAGTTTTCTTTGGACAATCACTAGAAAATTTCTACTTTTGCATCTATAGTAATTTATATATAGAACTGCATCACGTTTCACTATAATCATTCTTCAGTTGACTGGAGAATCATCAATTAAGTAATAAAATTGATTCACAAATAAATACCTTTATTATGTTCATTCTCTTCAAACTCCAAATAATTTTTTGCACCTTCTGAAGAATAGTTAAATTCTTCATATAGAATATTGTCCATATCCAAAGAAATTAATATTGATATATTCCTGAGCTTTTAACTATCATTTGTATTACTATATGCCTGGATCTCTTCTTGACTATAGAGCTTAAAGAATTCTATATATTTGTCTTTTGAAACTTCCAGATTTTTTAATCTTTGAATTGCTATATATCAAAAAGAATAGTTACTGATTTTATAGCTACCATTTAAATTAATTCCTGTAAGTTCTGCAATTTTTATTATTATCATATTCAATTTATTCACACCCATCTGGTTTTTTTAAACCAAATTCCTTTATTTAGATCTAACAAAAAAAAAAATATTAATAACAAATACTATATATATAAATAAAAAAAACACAAAACCATAAATAATTTAAACTCTTTGTTGATTATGTAGTCTCTAGAACAATATACAAACATCCACAGAATATAATGATATCATATATAATATAGGTTTAAACTAATTATTGACATTATTAGGAGGAATAAAAATCTTTTGCACAGAACTTTTCTTATATTTATTACACTTTAATACTTCACATTGATTATTCTTCTTATGATTAAATGTCAGAAAAAATTTATCATTATGATATATTATGTCTTTAAAGTTAATTTTTTTAATGTTGCCACTATGCAAACTATATAAAAGTGATAGTCAAAAGAATACTTGTCTTACCAAACCTTTATTTGTATTAAGTTGCATTGTTTTGCGTTCAAGAATTTGCATAATTTCCTCAGCATTTAATGCAGATGCTTGCTCTGTTTCTCTCAACTCTGCATTTTGAAGTTTCTTTATCTTACCATTAAGTGTTCTCAATATCTTTCCAAAATGGTAAGAATCTAGGGTTGTTAATGGGTTTGGTTGGGTTGGGTTGAGTTAATTAAAACCTCAACCCATTTCAGTAAATTAGATTTACTCTAATAGTTTACTCCAAGTTGCTCTATAGCTGCTCTGAGTTGCTTTAGATTGCTCCAAATTTAAAGATATAAGTCTAAACCCACTCCAACTTGGGTTGAATTCTATTCCGGAGTGCTCTGAAGCAAGCTACTCTATTAACAACTCTATAAGAATTTTATAACTTATACAGCTTGATTTTACTGTTTTCTTTTAGATGACGAGCTATAGATACATAACAGTTGTAGATGCTTTCTGCTTTGTAATCTTTGCTATCTAAACATTTTAACTAGATAAGGAACCTGCAAAAAAAGTCATCTAATTTTATAGCTATATCAATTTTTTCAATACTTTTATTATACTCAATAATTTCATGAAATCTGTCAACTGAACATAATCACTTTAAAGTGCACTTGTCAGTATTTTCTACATATACATCTTCTTCAGTAGGAGCAGTAGTATAATTTCTTTTACATATTTTACTATTTTGCAAAGAAAAAAAAGATCAATAATGTTAGAAGTTGATTAATTTAAACCTGATTACTAAAATAAGAAAGTCTAATTTATTAAAATAGTTTAATTAAATACATAGTTGTATAGGTTATACGTTATACTATAAAATAATCTAGTTATTTAATGAATATTTGTAGATACAGGATATTTTATAGAATAATAGTAAACTATATAGCTTTTGACCATATAATTTTACTATTATTTTATGAAATACTCTGTATCTACAAATATCTATTAAATAACAAATATATATTTAATATTTCTGCAAGTTTATTAATCAAATTTTTAGAAAGACTAAAATATATAAAAAATAGCACTATATTAAATCTTTATACTAATTTACTAGATCTAATTTACTCTCTTATATTATGCAATTCAATTACTATACCAACACAATTTATTATTAATATTTATGATAATATAATACTAAAGATTTTTGCTGATAATTAACTCTTTTAAACACTATTATATATTGCTAAAAACTACTTACAACTCATATTTATACAAATAATTTTGTTAAAGATATTACTACTAAATAATGTACTATAGAAATTAGCTAGGTTCAAATTTAGAATAATCTAATTATTCATATTGTTATAGTGATTTTTGTAAAAAAAAAAATTTAAGAAAAGTAAGAAAGAAGGTTTAAGCAGAACGATTTATTTACTTGTTTTAAAAACAATAAAGATATTACAAGGTTATTAGAACAAAGAAAATATTATAAGAATATTTAAAGAACAATATTCTAAAGAGTATTTAATAGTTTTTATTTATTATCTACTCTAATATTTTCAATCTAAATGTTTAAGAATGTTTAGAAATATCTGTTAGAGTAAGGAAGAAAGCCTTTCTTTAAATAACTGTTAGATTAGCATACAGTGGTATATAACTATGTGGAGTATACTAGCATACACTGGCATATAACTATGTATATTGTACTAATATATACTAATCTATAACCATATAGCAAGTAGTATATATTGGCATACAACCATATAACAGATGGCATATACTGATATATAGTATAACTATATGGCAAGTGGCATACACTAGCATATGGCATACAGTAGCATACAGCACACAATGGCATATAGTACACAGTGATATACAATATACAGTAATATCTACTTATAAAAATTCAATTCTAGCTATCATTATATAAAGTTAAACTCATAGCAATAGTTTTCACTATTAGTATATATCCTAGAAATAGCTCTATCACTATTTATACAGACTCACAATCAATTATATTCAAATATAAAAAGCTTATATAATTATTACCAATATCAAACAAAAGATACTCTTATAAATTCTGGCCTATATAGCATACTTTGCTTAATTTTATTAAAGCTTACAAACTAAATACTCAACTAAAAAAGGTTATAGTACATAGTAACAATACCTTTAACAATCTGGCAGATGAATTAACAAAAAATGCCAACTATTCAACTATACTACAATTCATAGACAACAATATATTCAATCTATTATACCTTATTCAATATGAGCAGTTTATATTCGAAACTTATAAATCTATTAAAAATATATATAATGATCATATTATAGCAATGTAATTATCTCAACACTAAATAGAACATATAATACCTATATCTTTTTAAATTAACTAGAATGCAACTTGGCTATATCTAAACAACAACTACAAAAGATCAACTATCTATACTCAAAGAGAATTAAATCATATGACAATGGTAGTCAAAATAAACGATTATCAGACATTTTTTTAATGCCAGTAAAATAATTTTAACGCCGGTCAGGTCTTTTCAGGACCGAACCAAGCCTAGTTATTAGATATGTGTCACTTTAAACACGACATATTCAAAAGATATATTAACAATAAATTTGAAAATTTTAATTACAAAATAATACGTACGTACGTACGTATGTATGTGCGTACATATGTACATAATTTAGTTACCCAGATTTTACCAAATTTGACATTCGTATTTTAAAAGTATTAATAACTAAAAAAAAATCATTGTTTGAGATATTCTTTTAGCAGTAAATAAATCAAGAGAGAACAAAGAAACCTTATGTGTAGAATTTCGAATGCCAAAGAAATACCAATGGAATGGAATACAATATTTTTAAAACAAGATTATAAATCTAAAACTACGTATAAACTTTGATAAAGAAACCGTACGTAATTGTAAATGCATACGTAACAGATAACTAATTTTGGGTATCATAAACGTAAGGAAGAATTGTAAAATTATACGAATGATTGATAGAATTTGATAGATTTTAATAGATTTGAAAAAAGACAACACTACATAGAGTTATGCATAATGCAAGCATGTGATAGATTTTCGGCATTTCACGAACCTTTGTTCACCAACAAAAAGTCAACAACCATGACCAAAAGTAAAGTTTTCTTTGTTACACTCTTTGTTCATCATATTAAATCCTTTGTTCTCAATTGATCTCAATACTTAATTTAAACAATCTTTTTTCGAAATTTAAAAGATTTAAATAGATTATGTAATTACTTTCTTGGTGCTTCTTTGTTTGTATTTGTAAAGTCAAAATTAAGTCAAAATTAAGTCAAAATTAAGTCAAAATTGGGGAGCAAATTTAAAGTAACATTTTACATTGTTCAGATAATGTTTATTCAACGATGATACAGATATCTATAATTCAGTAGTTTCGCATATGTGAAAAAAACGTGTACTTTTTGTAAGAAAGTTTTTTTTAGAATACATATAATAACAAATAAGGAAATAATAGAACACAAATCTTGATATTACGTAACCTTTGTTCTTGATGCCTTATATATTTTTATTCAACCATAGAATTGCCAAAAAAATTACAATGAAAAATAGGCACAAAAAAAAAATAAACCCGGAAAAATCAAGAAATTATTATTAAGCCAGAAATAAATCGTCTTTGTCTAGATGGAATATCAGGAGTGAATCAGGTATTTACAAATCACAGTATAAAGAAATCCCTTGTAATCAAATTTGGATTCATTGTGGTTGAGTTCCGTAAAATTTTATCGTTCTTTCAAGTTCATTGTTATACGACCTTGAAAAACAAGTTTTTTGGAGAAACATTAATATGGATTTATAAGATTTCATTGTGAGAAGTTGCATTGTTACCAAAATTATTTAGTCAAGTTTTGATGTTTTTGTTTGTTTAAAAGATTTGTTTAAAAGATTTGTTTAAAAGATTTGAAGTGATAAACTAAGATAAAATAAGATAAAATAAGATGAATTAAGATAAACGAAGATAAAATAAGATAAATTAAGATAAGCGAAGATAAATGAAAGTATACGTATAGAGATAAACTAATTAATAATAAGAAATACGAGAAAATTAAATTAATCATAAATTCAATGAAATAAACCCAAGAATTGAAAGATTAATCTTGGGGAAGACACTTTGATGGAACTTTGATGATAATATAACTTTATACAAATCTTTTTTATACATATTAGATACGTATTAGACAGGTTCAATGAACATGCTAGAAGTAGACAAGAATTTGGAAAACATATTAAGTCAATGAAGTCAATGAAGATACCGGTTATAAATTAAAACATGTATCGGTAAGAATGAAATTAAAAAAAAGAATAATTGTTTCGCAATAATTCTAGACACAATCTTCCCAGATGATAATCCAGTCGGTGAAACGTCAACATATGCATCATCTTCAGACACGTTTTATAATGAGTAGGCAAGTATGTAATTACTTGTATAACAAGAAATTCCGGATTGCTAACACATAACAAGGATGCCATAATGACGTTTAAAAAAGGGTTATCATAAAAGAATTCGGGATCTACTAATTAAAAGAAGACCTAGAAGTGTGTGTGTCATTGTAATGCAATATTTTAATTGACCTTCTAAATAAGAAATAAATAATTAAAATTATTAAAAATTAATATGATATATTAAATATGATATACGTATTAATATGATATATTAATATGATATAAATTATTATATAGAAAGAAATTATGAGAAATTAAAAAAATCTTGACACACTTTGACACACACACTTTGACACATATAAAACGCATACATTTTAAATTAATGTTATTCCAACAAAGGTTATAAAAGTTGACAGATCTCATCATACAGAATATCTAGTATTAATGGTCATCATGTCAAAAATGAAGAAATGACGGCAAAGACGAAAATCCAATTTCATAAAAAATTAACAATAATACATTCATTTATATTTATTAAGAATTAAAATGGACAATCGTAGATTTATTGAGAATTAGAATGAATAGAATGGAGGAAATGGGTGTGAAAATTGATACATGATAAACAGGGTAGAGATTCTCGATTATTACTGTAAGTAATATTATTAAATAATATTATTAAAAAATAATATTTTTACGTAGATAGATATATATTGATATATTAAATATTGTATTTTACATTCTATGCACAATAAATATCGATATTATTAAATTAAATTACATGTTTCGAATAACCAGATCACACCATGATGTTAAACAAGCTAGGCTGAAAGCAAACTAGTAATTTAAATCGAAACTATAATAAATCCAAAAGAGGAGAATTTTTAAGACTCCGTTAGTTCATTCAAAATGTTTAGAAATACTAGAAATTTTAATAAAATGTGAGTAACATGGATAACATAACAAAGATATTCTACGTACATAAGAAATGCTAATAAATAATGATAGCTAATAAATAAAATAAATACTGTAAATACTGTAAATAAATACTGTAAATAAATAAATGACGAATAAATAAATAAATAAATTTACGAAACAATAACGGTTCATTCATCATTTTTAATTTTTTAATCAAAT